CCCCAAAACCCCAAAACCCCAAAACCCCATGTTTGAATAGGAAGTTATAAAAAGGTCAGAATTTATCAAGATTTTAAATAACAGATAGTTAATTCAAGTATTACTACCGAATAAACCTCCAAAACTTTATGTTTAATTAGGCATAGATCCAAATAGAGAAGAATTCTAGTTACTTCCTCCAAACATTTCTCTTTAATTAAATTATTCTTATTATCTTTGCTGAAGTATTTATGAAAACAGCATACCACTGCTGCTGCTTGGTTAATTCGAGATCAAGTTTAGACCTTGACTTGCTTGAGAAAACAATGAAATCCCTTAACTTAGAGGTTAATTTAGCATGCTAAGCATTGGAGCACTGGACCCTATTTCTGACACAGATGTATTAACTCTAAAACTATTAGAGATTATAGAGGAAACATATTAGGACATTTGAGAATCCCATTATTAATCAGGGTTCGCTCTGAAGAATCGAGGCATTCCAAAAAGTTAATTTTCTATTAAGATTAAATCTAATTGCAATGAAATCTTACCTTAGGCTCTCGTTTAACGAAGCATGCTAAACTTTGATTTTATTTCATCTAATTTGTTGGTTTCATTTTCTTTTGAGTTGATAACATCTTTTTGAGGTTTAGACTTTACCTATCTAATTAGTTCTTCCTTTGTCAATGACTGTTAATAATTTAATCTAGCCTAATCTCTTAATGCATTCATTTTCAAGTTATCAATAACAAGCAAATATAATTTGCCGGATTTTTCAATAAATTAAAAGTCGATTTCTTGTTCAGAATTCAATATTTTCCCTGATAAGTAATTAGTTTATCAATTAAAGTTTACCTTAATTATATATCTCAATATCTTTCAAATCAAATATTTCTTATGCTTTTTCGTACAATGATTCATTATAAATATTTTCTATATCAAATTGGCATGCAATTTTTTAAAATCTTGTTCTGAATATTATTTCTACAGTCATTTCTTTATAGTTTATAAATTTTGTAATTATTTCAAAATCTTATCTTAATATAATGTTTAGTTCTAGGGGTTTTGGGGTTTTGGGGTTTTGGGG